TGCTTTGTAAATTTCAAGTCTGCATTATGCATGTTTTAATAAAGAATGAACTGCGATTCCCGGGGAAAGCTCTGGTTCGGCCTTGTCACACTTCCAGATGTGCACCTGGTCCTTTATTATGTCTCATGTAAAAAGCTAGTGGGTATCTTTCTGACAGCACCTTGTTAATGAATCAAGATACAGTAAGATGTATACATATGTATATATACACACACACACATAAAGAGTAGAATTGTAATTATGGTAATGTGGCAAAATTGCTTAAAAATGGAAAATAGACCAGCAGCCTCGATGTTGAAATGTGAATACTGTGTTTCTCTTTCATTTGCTGTTGTCTTGGAACCTAGCTGTTTATGCAGTGCTTTCACCTTCTGTTGCTTGTCTAAGTGCCAACTTCTTTCCCAAAGGTGTTCAGTGACTAATGCTTTGGTTACAAGCCAGAATATTTTATAAATGTCTATTTATAGGCAGCTCTTCTGCAAGTCTTAATTAAACTTTAATGTCAAGCTGAAGTTTACTTTTAGAACCTCTTAGTTTCCTTTAGTTGTAACATGGTTCTAGAGAAGTAGAGGGGATGTGGGACAGCCATGTTCCCGCACGTCTTCACTCTGCCCTTTATCACAGGGCCACCAAGCAGATGCGTGCTTGTGTAACACAAAGGTTTACAACACAAAAATGAGTCAGTCACAGCCATCCTCTCGAACACTGGGAGGAATAGCCCATTAAGACTGAGTCAGATTCTTCCACCCTGAAATGATAGCCATGATTCAGACGAGTTACTGCCTTGTTACTTATTATACATCCTTCCAGAAATATCCAGCTTCTCAAAGCCAGGGATCAGAGCTAGAAATGCTATACATAGGGACATTTTCTTCATTCCTTTCTCCTCAGTGTCTTTAGTACCAGACAAGGAATTATGAGGTCTGGGGGGTCGTTTCCTCTAAGGCAGCATCGGGTGCCATCTGAAATAATGAAGCTTCTGTTATTGTCAGAATAATACAGGTTTTAAATATAGTAATATGATGTGGTATGCTTATTTTGAAACTAATTATGCTCCTCAGTCAGATTGCCCAATGGCAGAGCCAGCAAACTTTTTACTTGAAGGGACAGACTGTAAATATTTTAGGCTTTGTGGGACAGAGATGTCGCAACTGCTCAACTCCGCTGTCATAGTGCAAAAGTGGCCACAGACAAAAGAGCATGGCTGTGTTCCAATAAACCTTTATTTACAAGACCAGGCAGCAGTCCCAATTTGGCCTTCAGGCAGCAGTTTTTGAACCCCTACTCTCTGGTATGCTTTCTTTTCTATGATAATCCTGTAGGACATTTTTATTTTTTATTATTTAAATATAGTTCCTTATAGTAATGTAATGTAATTTGTTAGTAAAATGTAATTTGTAAATGTAAAATGTAATTTGTTAGTAAAATTTAAGCTGGTTGCCAAAATTAGCCAGATTTAGAGGGTTTTTTTCAGGAATTAGTCCTGGGTTAATAAACCATAAGGGCCTGCTCATAGATAGACAGACTGACTGATACAACAGAATTATGTATGTATGTTTACTGAAAAACTATAAAGGCTCCAAACTGTAATTGCCAAAATTCCCAATGATAGTTGAAAGGATAAATAAAATGTGGCATATTTACAAAAATTAGTATACACACCAATGAGAAGAAATGATTTACAACTCCATGCATCAATATAGATTAAACTTAAAAACAAAATTTTGAGTAAAGAATGTTGGATACTCCAAGATTACATACTCAGTGATTCCATTTATATGAAATAAAAAACTGGGCAAAGCCAGTCTATACTAGTAAAAGCAAGATAGTGGGTAGGGGCAAGAATTGGAAGGGGGCACAAGGGTATTTCTTTGGTGCTGGCAATATGTTTTTCTTGATCTGGGTGCTGGTTTCACACATGTATTCAGTTTATAAAAATTTGCTGAGCTCTACACTTAGGTTGTGCGCGTTTTTCTATATGTATGTCCTACCTTGATAAGAAGGTTTAAAGTGAAAAACAATTAGGATAAGAAGGGAAGAACTTTTAGGTATTAAGTGAAATGTCCAGTTTCTCATAGATACATTATTAGAGGTATCAAAGTGGGGGGAAGTGTTCAAAATTATAATAATTTTGTTTGGATATTCTGAGGTTCATAACAATTTGCTTCCCAAATTCAAACTCAAACAGTATCCATGTTGCCATTAATTTATTGGTCAACTCAATAGTTGTATTGCCACTAAAACATTAGGTTATATGGGCGGGGTATAGATCACATGAACGTGGTAGTAGTAGATGTTTACTTTATCTTAATGAAACATTTGGAATTTGCATACCGTCACAGAACAGATAAGCATGGCTCTAATTTCATAGAATGTATAATGAGTTCATGAACTCTTAACAGTCCCTTATCCAGTAATTTCCTCAATCTTTCAGACTTTTTTTTAGTGTTATTCAGCCCTTTTTAATGTTTGATACACTTACATCCCACACATATATTTTGAACACTGTGTTGCTAGCCTCTGAGAAAACAGTGATATTCATGACCCGGCACCTTTTCTCCAAGAGAACTTATTCTAGTGGTGAGAAAAGCCAGACAGTGTGAACATATTGCATTAGAGGGTTGCCCAGTGTGTGGGAAAGTGGCAGAGAGGGAAGCTACTTCTGTTAGGGAGGATGCAATGCTGGGTGAAGGGGCTTAGCAATAAGTATCAACTGGAAGAACTTCTGAGGACTCAACATTGACACTCAAGCTGAGTCTTGAAGAACAAGTATAAGTTAACCAGATAACATGAAGAGGGAAGAGGTTGAAGGCAGAGGGATGGCTTGAAGTAGGACACAAAACAAAGGTGTTTGGACCCCTGTTTGTAGGTGAGCATGGCTAAAGGGAAGGAATGGGCTGTGCAGTGGAAAGTAAGGCACCACCAGCTCTTTCAGGCTGCATCTGCTGCACTAATCAGAACTCTATCTTGAAAGCACTGGAGGAAAGGAAGCAGACACGTGACATTATCAAGTTTGCTTTCTGCAAAGTGACCACCACCCGCCCCCAGTAGTGTGAAAATTGGAAGAGGACTTGACAAATCAATTAAGAGTATAATCTAAGTGAATGCCAGTTCAATCATGAAATTTTCAGACCTTCTTTATTTAAGAAAAGAAATTTTAATCTTCATTCAGCTCAACCTAAATAACTAGAATAGTACAAAAGCAAGAAGCAACATGCCTTTGCTACCCCCAGGCGAAATGGGTCCCCGCCCTGGTCCCAGAGCCCTTCATTCATAACTCTTTTCAAGTATTTCTAATATCTGTTTACATCTGTTTATAAATCTGCCCTTTATAAGCTCTACAAAGCTGGAAATTTGTTATACTATTTTTGTATGTGGGAGTAATAGATGTAACGATTATTATACAGGGGCTTTCAATTAAAATCATTCTTCATCTTCAAGTAATGCTTAAAAGCATCAATCTTGAAACTTGTTCTTTAACTCTGTCCTTAAACATTCTGTCTTAAATCAACTCACAAATAACTACTAAATGCCTACTGTGTGTTTAACATTTCCATAAATAGTTTATTCAAACACAAATACAGATGTTGATTAGAATGATACAATGTAAGCATTATTGAAGAAACGTTTTCTAAGCTCTAGTTGCTAGGTGAATATCTTTCTTATTGTTATGATTATCCTCGTCTGATATTTTGCTTTGGGTCATATTCTTCTCTGGTTGAACTAATTTTTTTTTTAATTTAAATAATTTAAATACTTTGATATCTAAGAGTGTCTGTTTTTGAGGACAGCTTACAGAATCATGACATTCTGTAGCAGGTTCTGAGCTCTTCTAACCATCTAATCAGTAAAGGGAATGGGTTGCCTTGAGACTTTAGAACATTCTAGCTGTGGTACCTTGAATACATTTCTTAAACCTCAGGTTCCTTGGGGTTTCATGCAATGTGCATGAGTCATATCTTCACTGAACAGTAGTTATTATTACAGATGGGGTGACTGAGTCTTTAAAATGCTAAATGACCTCTCCCCCAGAAGAACGGGGGCCAGAGCCAGAACTTGAACTCACTTATGTGTTTGGATTTGCAGCAGTGTTCCCTTTCCAGTTCACAAGATGGTGAAACACTTCTGCAGTTCTATTTTTAATTTTGTCTAGTTATTGGTAGAGGTGATCAGCCTGCCTTAAGAAATTAATTCTAATTCAACAGATTTTAGAGGCACCCACATGCTGGCCATAGCAGTCCTTTCCCATGCCATGCTCACTTCCACCAAAGCATCCCCTATTTTGGTGGAAATAGTCTATTCTCCTTTGGCTTTGGCAGCAGCTAGTTCAATGTCTACTCAAGAATGAAGAAAGAGGGCTTCCCTGGTGGCACAGTGGTTGAGAATCTGCCTGCCAATGCAGACGACACAGGTTCGAGCCCTGGTCTGGGAAGATCCCACATGCCATGGAGCAACTGGGCCCGTGAGCCACAATTACTGAGCCTGCGCGTCTGGAGCCTGTGCTCCGCAACAACAGAGGCCGCGATAGTGAGAGGCCTGCGCACCGCGATGAAGAGTGACCCCCACTTGCCACAACTAGAGAAAGCCCATGCACAGAAATGAAGACCCAACACAGCCATAAATAAATAAATAAATAAATACATTGTGTATTATTAAAAAAAAAAAAAAGAATGAAGAAAGAAAAAAAAAATCTTTTAGGAAAATATTTTGAAATAATGAGAAAAATATGCTAAAATAATAGAAGCAAGAAGTTAAACAGAAAAACAGAAAGCAGACTAGTTTAATTATAACTAAATTATAAAACTTTTCCTGTGTAATAACTAACTGAATTTATCTGAAACCTGGGAAACTGAGTTCTTTTTAAAATGGATTTACATCTACTTGCATGGGGTCATCTCCTATGGTTGTGCTTCCAAATTAGTATTTTATGTTCAGGATACATAAATGAAGAGATGGGATTTTTAGTTCCAAAAAAACACTAAATTGTACTTAATTTTTAGGCCACATGAAAATAAAACCTATCTTGCTGTTGGAAGTATGAAGACATTAATGTTGAACGTGTCCTTATTTAATGCCGGAGATGATGCATATGAGACAACTCTGCATATCAGACTACCCACTGGTCTTTACTTCATTAAGATTTTAGATCTGGTAAGGATCGAAAACTACAGTAGCATGATACTACATGATATTTTACTTAACTTTTAAAGAATGTAAATATATAAATCACTTTATCATTTGAGGTATAAATATTAGGCGTATGAGTCTTAATATTCAGACTTGCCACTCGGGCTTCCAGTAATTTTTTTCCTCTGTGCCCCTAATCAAGATGGCAAGTTCCTTGGGATCTGACTGAGATCAAGAGAGTCAGCTTCCTGCTTACCAATGCTACTATGAGACAGAAGCGATTGTCCAGTTATCCAAGCAAGCTGCCTGGGTGTCATTGCTTTTCTCACTGGTACAACCTCGTCTGGTGCCGTGATGGTGCTCCTCATGGTTGGGGTCTCTACACGGGCCATATTGGTCCTTCATGCTGGGCTCCCAGAGTTACTGCTCTGCATTTTAAGTTCACATACACTGTCTCGATCCCAAAGAACCTCCAAAATGCTAGAACCAGCGTCAGATTCCAAAATCCTGGTGTCAACCAGATCGTAGGCAAGTTTCTCCTTTCCTGCAAGAGTTCGGAGCATCTGGAGACCTTTTCCTTTTTTTATTCCTTTCTACCACTGTGCCTCAGTCATGAGCACTTAAATCCATCAGTGAGGTGTTAATAATGTTGAATTTGAAAGAGAAAAATCTGTCACTTTCTCCTTGGAAAGGCTCCTCTGCATCTTAGAAAATTTACCCATCTCTTATCCAGAGACCATTTCTTCACACTAAGGACATTTAGAAAGGCCTTTGACCTCTTATAAATATCTACTACCCACTTCCTCTAGAGCTTTGGGAGCCTGTTTGCAATGGTAAGAGGGAAAACTCAGATATTCAGGGAAATATGCATCTGTGAGATGTATATAAATGTATACTTTCCTGAATACTTGCATATATATAAAATTGTGATTACAGTTATAATTAAATACCTTTATCACATTCTCACAACCCAGACAGAAGGCAGCCAATGAAATATAGACCTTATGAATTCCTTGCTTCGTGATTTTTCAAGGAACCTTGAGTTAGGGAACACAGAAACATGGTTGAAAGCTACAAGTCCAGGAATTATTCTGTGGAGCATGTATGTGAATATTAGAATGAATCTATACTTGTACACACATATTTATGTAGTGTATTTATATTCCTATTGATTTATCCCCAAAGTAAACAGAAAATAGTCTTCCAAGAAAGTAAAGTCTTCAGGGATGATTTTCTTTTCAAAAACCATCCTTAAACATATGTTATGAACTTCTCATTCCCTACCTACTTAAACCAGTTATTTCATTTTCCTTTTAGGAGGAGAAACAAATAAACTGCGAAGTAACAGACAGCTCTGGCATAGTAAAACTTGACTGCAGGGTTGGTTATATATATGTAGATCATCTATCAAGGGTAAGCATTTAGCATTTATAGTTTTTGTTACTGACATGAATATAAAATATTTTCTGTTTCCCTATGTTTGTGTTGCATACAAATAATTTGTTGTTGTCGTTTTTATTATTTACTAAGAGTAAGTAGCTAAATGAAATAAAACCCAACCAACTGGGCTTGAGATCTTTGAGACTGTGTTTATATTCTTGGCAATGTTCACTGTTTAAAAGAAAGAAAAAGAAGGGGGCGCCTGTTTGTGTCAGGACGGCCAGGTGAATGTGTCAATCAGAATTCCACTGCCCAGCCTCACCCTTCCCCAACACTCCCCGACCCCACCCCGGGTGGTCCTATCTGCCAGGCATGTCACCTCTGCTCTATTAAAAGGTGTTTCTGGCAAGAGTGCCCACTCAAGTTGTTAAAGCATCTCTAATTTTGTCAGTCTGGACCTGCCTATCTTTACATTCAGAGGAGGCTTTGTCTCTGAACGTCACTCGTGGAAATGCTGCTGCTTTAAAATTGCCGCAGACCTGACAGCTTCCCCATAGTTCTCTGAGTGAGGGTTAGCCTATGCTTCTAGGACATCATTTCATATTTGTATTTCACAGAACATAAATAATAAGAAAAACTAAAATTCAGATTGTAAAAACAAACTTTAGATTATTTTTATTTATTTTTATCTTATTTTTTTTTACATCTTTATTGGAGTATAATTGCTTTACCATGGTGTGTTAGTTTCTGCTTCATAACAAAGTGAATCAGTTATACATATACATATGTTCCCATATCTCTTCCCTCTTGCGTCTCCCTCCCTCCCTCCCACCCTCCCTATCCCACCCCTCCAGGCAGTCACAAAGCACCGAGCTGATCTCCCTGTGCTATGCGGCTGCTTCCCACTAGCTATCTACCTTACGTTTGGTAGTGTATATATGTCCATGCCTCTCTCTCGCTTTGTCACAGCTCACCCTTCCCACTCCCCATATCCTCAAGTCCATTCTCTAGTAGGTCTGTGTCTTTATTCCTGTCTTACCCCTAGGTTCTTCATGACATTTTTTTTTTCTTAAATTCCATATATATGTGTTAGCATACGGTATTTGTCTTTCTCTTTCTGACTTATTTCACTCTGTATGACAGACTCTAGGTCTATCCACCTCATTATAAATAGCTCAATGTCGTTTCTTTTTATGCCTGAGTAATAGTCCATTGTATATATGTGCCTAGATTATTTTTAAAATGAGCGTTCCCTGTGTTTTCCAGACAGATATTAGCTTTCTTCTGGATGCCAGCTCACTCAGCAGAGCAGAAGAGGATCTCAACATCACAGTGCATGCTGCCTGGTATATTTCATTATGACAAAACAATTGTGTTAAAGGAAATGAACCCCTGAATTTGGGGGGGGAGAAAAGGGGGGGTGACCTTAGGGGAACCATGGAGCTGTGTTCCATTGTCTGCAGGAGAAAACTTCCTTTATGTGATCTGTGAAACAAAAAACCCTTCTAACATAGGGTTTTATAGCATAGAAGCAAATAACGGTGTAAATAATGAGAGCAAATTTCTGCCAACTGTGACATAAAAATTTCTTACTACCGCTCCTCAAAAAGCATTTTTTTTTTTTTTTTTTGTGGTACGCAGGCCTCTCACTGTTGTGGCCTCTCCCGTTGCGGAGCACAGGCTCCGGACGCGCAGGCTCAGCGGCCATGGCTCACGGGCCCAGCCGCTCCGCGGCATGTGGGATCCTCCCGGACCGGGGCACGAACCCGTGTCCCCTGCATCGGCAGGCGGGCTCTCAACCACTGCACCACCAGGGAAGCCCTCAAAAAGCATTTTTTAAACCAACCTCCAAGTACCTTAGGTATACATGGGGCGTAATTAGTTCCCTCTGAAGAGAAGTTTTGTGCTGACTGGATTCTAAGAGGGTGTTTTCTATTTGCTTCTGTAGTGAAAATGAAGGAGAAACAGGCAAAGTGAAGCGTAACAAAGTGACTTTAACAGTACCTCTCAAGTATGAAGTCATGCTGACTGTTCATGGGTGAGTAGATATGGAGGACTCCTGTAAAATTCTGAGCTGATTTTGAATTCTGTTGCTTCTTAAACTACTGGTCAAAAGCCTATTTAAAGTTTTTTAAGAAAAGATCATGTGCTGTTTCTGTCTCTTAACAATTACCTCGGTGTCGCAGCCCGTTGCTCAGGTATTCGTTATTTTAACCCACTCTGTAGTCATCACTGAGACCACCTCAAACTAATGCCCCAATGGAGGAGATTTCTTACTGGAAAAGCCCAAGAGGAGGCCACGTCCAACCATTCAGCAGCACACCGTGCAGGCCAGGGCCCCAAAGTGCCAGCGTGCACTTTGTATGGTCATGCTCAGTGGCCAGGGCAAGTGTGAAGTTCAGAGAAGTGGAAGGTTGGCCAAATCGCCCTTGGGAAGACCCCGCATCTACCTGCGTGGCAAATGAATTGAGATACAAGAGAGCCGGCTCCCTTGTCCCCTCTTTATATCCATGGATTACAGAGTTCCTTACCCACAGCCCGGCAGTCACTGATTCCTCACAATTTTAGTAATTGTTTGAATGGACCCTCCTATGACTCAGGAAGGAGATGTGAAGAGAAAGAATTAAAGGAGTATCATGAAAACCTCTCATGATTTTACTGGAAATTATTGAGCCTACTAATCTTTGTTTAAAACCACATTTTTAAAGCAGTAGACAATATGAGACACAGGACAAATAGATGAGCTTTTCTAGTTGCCCTAACTATAAAGCATCCCTAGTCATTTTTAACCACCCATAAAGGTGGCATATAGTTATATAAAAATAGTGTCCGAAACTGATGGAACTGATTCTCCAGTTTGTGAGATAAAACCAGCGGAGGAAAAAGGAATCCATTCAAGGGCGAGTAGTGGGGAGCAAAGAGAAGTCAAGTGCACGTTTCCTGGGTTTGAATGCTTACCTCGCCTCGCCTCCTTGATTTTGTTATTAAGTGTGTCCTCCTGCTTTTCCATTATCCACATCTCATTTTGAGCAAGGGATGCTCTGCAACTATTAAGCTGCCTAAATCTACAACATTGGAATATTTCTCATTTCTTTCCTTTGTAAAAGAGTCTCTAACATATTACCTCATATTAGCTGCCAAATATGAGCAACTTGGGGAGTCGGGATTTTCCTAGAAAAATATTCTTAAAGTTCACTACTGACCGGTGCATATGTCTCATCTCAGGTAAAGGAATGACAACCTTGTATCCTAACAAAAATTTGCCCTACTTCTTGATGTTTGAATTGTTCCCCAGACTTGGGGTCCATTACAAAAAGCCAGCAGGAACTGGGCGTGATAAGAAATAACTCAAAAATATGTCAGATAGATTGAAATACAGGAGGAGACTGGAGCCCTAGGGAAAAGCTAAGAATTTATCTCATATTCGTCAAGTTTGCATGAATCATTTGAGGGCTGAGAGAGAAGGAATGGTCACTAGAGTGAGCCAGGCAGTATTGGGAAGGCAAGCAAAGGATATTGGCGGGAAGAGAAATTATCACCCCAGTCAGAGCACGTGGCTTTCTAATTTCATTACATTTTCACTAAAATTCTTATCTTTACAAGAAACCAAAAGTATTCCATGGTACTTAGAGGCACCTGTAGTCTGAATTGTGGCATATTTAAGGGATATTTAAGAGATATGCTATATTTAGACTAGAGAGAAAGACTGTTTCTAATACCTCATCAAATAAGACAGTTAACTTAAATCTGAATTCATTTCTGGCAGGTTTGTAAACCCAACTTCGTTTGTGTATGGACCAAAGGAGGAAAATGAGCCTGAAATGTGTATGGCAGAGAAAATGAACTTCACTTTCCACGTAAGAAAAGTTGATTGTGCTGATATTTGTAACAAACTGAAAGAATGTTACCGATGCATTGCTCCAGAGGACGTCATGTATGTGTGGCGTCCCTCAGCTTTGGGCCACCTCAGCTGGCTGAGGGCGAGAAGGGAGCTGCAGCAGGGCTCATGCCCTTGCTTGGTGGGCCCCTGTGCCTTCTCTCCCATTCATCTTGTCCCTGTTACTGAGCCCAATCTCCTTATACTACCTACCTCTCCTTACAGTAAGTACCTCCTGGGAACAGAGGTAATGCCCGAAATAGGCAAAGTTATGGGAGGAACTGAATCTGCTAAAGATGCATGCAGAAATCAGAATAGGTCAAGAAAAGGCATCTTTGGGTGCAAATCAGTGAAACCTCTTCATGGTCCAAGCTTCATACAAGTCCTAACCTTACTAAGTAAAGGAAGCTTTTACTTCCGCATCTCCATTTAAGGTCTGCTTGGTCAGCCTTTCAAGCCATTGGTATATGACCCATGACAAGTGATGTATCATTTATTAAATAATCTTTTTAAAAAGGAAA